TGTCTCAGTGGAGTAATGGGAGGGCAACAGTACTACAGCTTCAGAGAGTTGTGTTCACTATGACTCTGTTTCCTTCTCTGGATGAAACAGAAATTAAATTTTCCATGTAGAAAACATCGAGGGTATTGTTTTAGGTATGCTACACACCCTGGTTTTATGTGTTAGCATGTTAATGTTTAATAATTACATATAATTGAAGCTGAGTTGCCATTAAATCAAACTGTTCTTAGCCATAAGAAGTAAGTAACTAGAGTGATTTCTGTCATATTTCTGTTCAGTCCATGTGGGACCTGAGCTGCTCCACACCTACTCAAACTACTACAAGTACGATATTCTCCTGCTGGTTGTTCGCCTGGCTGTGCTGGCCGCTGTCACACTCACAGTTCCTGTGATGCTCTTCCCTGTAAGTATTGAGGGTCTACTGTTAATGATCCAGTCAGTCACTAAGACTATGAAGTCCATTGAGCTAATCTTTGTCTGGTTCTGAACAGATTCGTACCTCAGTCGGCCACCTGCTGTTCCCAAGAAAAGACTTCAGCTGGATCCGTCACGCTATCATCACCCTGACCCTGTTAACAGGAACCAACATTCTGGTCATCTTTGTCCCGAGCATCAGAGATATTTTTGGCTTTATTGGTAAGTAACTCCACATATTAATATGTATAATCATCTTTCTAACAATGCTTTATTGACCTCTATGATTAACGGCTCATTATTCCTCCTTCCAGGTGCCTCTGCTGCTGCAATGCTGATCTTCATCCTGCCCTCAGCTTTCTATATCAAACTGGTTAAGAAGGAGTCAATGAAATCCATGAAGAAGATTGGAGTAAGACATTATTAAACATTTCACAATTTTAATCACATTTTGTTTCTGTTAGTAAACTAAATGTAAAATATTGTGTAACAACTTCAAATGAACTGAAATTATTTCTTCCACCAGGCTACGATGTTCCTGATATTAGGATTTGTTGTCATGATTGGCTGCATGTCTCTTATCATCTACGACTGGATNACTACTACAAGTACGATATTCTCCTGCTGGGGACTGCGCTTGAAGTGCTAATGCAACAATGGGTCTGAAGCTGGGCTGGTTTGTGTCCAGAATGGCTAATGATAATTCCTTTTTCTCCTTATCAATCAGTACTTTGAGGAACGTGAAAATGTAAATAAGTCATTTAGGCTAGATTTGGCTTTTTTAGGTTGGCTTTTAATCTGGTTGTAGGTATGGCATTGTCTCAGTGGAGTAATGGGAGGGCAACAGTACTACAGCTTCAGAGAGTTGTGTTCACTATGACTCTGTTTCCTTCTCTGGATGAAACAGAAATTAAATTTTCCATGTAGAAAACATCGAGGGTATTGTTTTAGGTATGCTACACACCCTGGTTTTATGTGTTAGCATGTTAATGTTTAATAATTACATATAATTGCAGCTGAGTTGGCGTTAAATCAAACTGTTCTTAGCCATAAGAAGTAAGTAACTAGAGTGATTTCTGTCATATTTCTGTTCAGTCCATGTGGGACCTGAGCTGCTCCACACCTACTCAAACTACTACAAGTACGATATTCTCCTGCTGGTTGTTCGCCTGGCTGTGCTGGCCGCTGTCACACTTACAGTTCCTGTGGTGCTCTTCCCTGTAAGTATTGAGGCTCTACTGTTAATGATCCAGTCAGTCACTAAGACTATGAAGTCCATTGAGCTAATCTTTGTCTGGTTCTGAACAGATTCGTACCTCAGTCGGCCACCTGCTGTTCCCAGGAAAAGACTTCAGCTGGATCCGTCACGCTATCATCACCCTGACCCTGCTAACAGGAACCAACATTCTGGTCATCTTTGTCCCGAGCATCAGAGATATTTTTGGCTTTATTGGTAAGTAACTCCACATATTAATATGTATAATCATCTTTCTAACAATGCTTTATTGACCTCTATGATTAACGGCTCATTATTCCTCCTTCCAGGTGCCTCTGCTGCTGCAATGCTGATCTTCATCCTGCCCTCAGCTTTCTATATCAAACTGGTTAAGAAGGAGTCAATGAAATCCATGAAGAAGATTGGAGTAAGACATTATTAAACATTTCACAATTTTAATCACATTTTGTTTCTGTTAGTAAACTAAATGTAAAATATTGTGTAACAACTTCAAATGAACTGAAATTATTTCTTCCACCAGGCTACGATGTTCCTGATATTAGGATTTGTTGTCATGATTGGCTGCATGTCTCTTATCATCTACGACTGGATNCCAAAAAACAAAAACAAAAAACAGTGTGTGTGTGTGTGTGTGTGTGTGTGTGTTTGTGTGTGTGTGTGTGTGTGTGTGTGTGTGTGTGTGTGTGTGTGCGCGTGTGTGTGTGTGTGTGTGTGTGTGTCACAAAATGTTGCTCCTTATAAATGACTTTCTTTCCATCTTCCTTAGGTTACCTTGGTTACACCAGTGGTCTCTCTTTGCTATTCATGGTGTTTTTTCTGATTGTGGTGAGAACTTCAGAACTTGGATAGAATCAACCATTTCATTCATAACCCTAGTTGTTTAGCTTGTAAAATATTTTTAAAAAGACCAAAAATATATTTCTCTTTATGTTCCTGCAGGTGATCATAAAGAAGTTCCAGATCCCATGCCCTCTGCCTCTTCCTGACACTGGAAATGAAACCATGTTCAGCAGCACCCCCGACAACGCCACTACAGATGATGACACTTGCAAACCTAAATACTTTGTCTTTAACTCACAGGTAAATAAATCTCTCACAGATTAAACAGGTTTGAATATTTTCAATAACACTCATAGAATAACTTCTAATCTTTGTATTTTTCCATCTCTCCAGACTGTCTATGCTATACCCATCCTCACGTTTGCCTTCGTGTGCCATCCTACTATCCTACCCATGTATGATGAGCTCAAAGAGTAAGTGCTGCTGCATGGATTTAACTCAAACTTTCTATAAGGTTTAAACTAAACCAATGTTATATTTCTTTAAAGTTTGGTCTGGTGTCTAAAACTCTCCTTCCCTGAACAGCCCCTCACGCCGAAAGATGCAGAATGTGGCCAACGTTTCCTTCCTGGCCATGTTCATCATGTACCTGCTGGCCGCCCTCTTTGGATACCTCACCTTCAACAGTAAGATATACAATAAGATTTACAAACAACATATTACATTGTTTCATTACACCAGTTATGATAAAATTATGGAGAGAGTTTATGTGGTTTTATTTTTGTTGACCTCTGGAAAAACAATAGAGCTATTACATAAAAACCATATCCTAATATTTTGCTAAATAACAAATGGTCAAATACAACACAGACACGATGAGCATAAAACAGGACATACATAAAAAGCTGTTCTGAAAAGGTGTGTTCCGAGATATGACTTGAATGTGGATAAGTGTTTGGGGAGGGAGGGAGCACCTATGGAGAAGGCTGAGTCCATGCAGGTCTGGTGCTTGGTTCTGAGTGGCATCAGAGGAGCGAGGAGTGTGGCAGTGGAGCAGCTTCATGACGTAGCATGGGGCTTGGTTAGCCAGCAGCAGAGTCTTGTATCAATTACTTTATGAACCATAAAGTACGCTGGTACGGTAGTCAAGCCTGGAGGTGAGTAATTAAGTCACAGATGAGAATTTGATCAGCTGAGAAGGGGAGTGACGGGTGGAGATGAGCGATAACGTTTGGATGACAGGAGGCAATTCTTACGATGTGGTTGATGTGTTTATACTACAGAGAGGTTACTGTTGAAGATGACTCCAAGGCTGCAGATGTAAGTGAAGTGAAACAAAGTGGTGTTGTCAGTGGTGAAACTGAAGTTGATGGCAGTTTCCGTAAGGGATCTGGGACAGATGACGATGATGTCTGGCTTGTCACAGTTGAGTTTGAGAAAGTTTGAGTGCATCAATGACAGCAGGACAGTGTGCAGTAACCCCTCATCGGCATAGCAGTGTAAGTGGAACCAAGGAGCATCATGTACAGGATGAAGAGCAGAGGGCCAAGCACCAAGCCCTGGGGAATGCCTTGTGATTGAAGATAGGTAGAGAAGGTGGTGCAGTTGTTGCTTCTGATGAA